ATCATCACCATCATCCTCATCGGTATCCTCATCATCATGATCATCATGATCATCAGCCTCATCATTCTCATCATCATCATCATCATCCTCCTCCTCATCCTCCTCATCACCATCGTCATCCTCATGATGATCAGCCTCCGCATCCTGATCCTCATCCTCATCAGCAGCATCACCTTCGTCCTCATCCTCTGCATCCTCATCATCAGCATCATCGTCCTCAGCATCTTCATCCGCATCCTCATCCTCATCATCAGCATCAGCACCATCGTCATCGTCGTTAACCTCATCATCATCAGCCTTAGCAGCAGCATCATCATTATCATCAACATCAACATCATCATTCCAATCCTCCTCCTCATCATCATCCGCAGCATCGTCATCATCATCATCCACAGCATCATCACCATGATCATCATCAGCAGCATCAGCATCAGCACTAGCATCAGCATCATCATCATGGGCATCCTCATCCTCCTCCTCGTCCTCTTCCTCCTCATCCTCACCTTTAGCACCATCCTCATCACCCTTAGCGACATCCTCATCCTTATCCTCATCATCCTTAGCAACATCATCATCAACATCATCATCATCCTCATCCTCACCCGCATCCCCACCCTCATCATCATCCTCATCGTCATCCTCATCCTGATCATAACCCTGATGAACAGCATCATCAGCATCACCATCAGCATCATCATCCGCATGATCCTCATGCTCATCATAATCAGCATCACCATCCCTATCAGCATGATAATAACTATCCTCATCACCATCATCACCATTACCATCATCATCATCAGCATCATCGTCACTACCATCATCATCATCCTGATCATCATCAGCATCATCGTTATATTCGCCAACGTCCTCATCATCCTAATCACCATCATCATCCTCATCCTCAGTGTTATCACCGTCATCATCATTGTTATCCTCATCATTACCATGATCATCATCGTCAGCCCCAGCATCATCATCATCATCATCATCATCTGCCCCATCCTCATCCTCATCATCATTCGCGACATCGTCATGATCATCACCATCACGTCATCATCAGCATCATCATTATTATTATCATCCGTACCACCATCAAGATCCTCATCCTCATCCTCGTTATCCTCATAGACATGCTGATCAGGATCATCATCATCCCCATCCTCATCCTCATCATCCTCATCCGCATCCCCATCCTAATCTTCACTCACATCATCATTATCAGCCGCATCCCCATCCTCATCCTCATCAAAATAAGAATCAACACCATTATCATCGCCATCATCATCATGACCATCCTCATCCTCATCCTCCTCATAATCATCATAATCAGCAGCATCATCGGCATCATCATCACAATGATCAGCAGCATCATCATCGTCATCATCATCCTCATCCTCATCCTCATTGTGATTCTGCTCCTCATCGCCCTCATCCTCATCGCCTGCATGATCAGCATCATCATGCTCAGCATCAGCATCAGCATCATCAGCATCATCATCAGCATCATCATCGGCATCATCGTCATCGGCATCGCCATCATCCTCATCCATATCCGCATCATCCTCATCATCAGCATCATCCTCATCATCGTCATCAGTCTCAGCATCGGCATCGGCATCATCATTCTCTCATCCGCACCCTCATCCTCATTATCACAATCAGCATCATAAACATTAGCCTCATCCTCATCCTCACCAGCATCATCATCAGCATCATCCTCATCATCATCAGCATCATCATCAGTATCATAGTCCTGATCAGCATCCTCCTCGGCATCATCATCCTCATCCTGATTAGCAGTTTCATCCTCATCATCATCCACAGCCTCATCCACGTCCTCATCCTCATCGTCATCATCCGCCTCCTCGTCCTTCGCATCATCGTCGTCATCCAAAGCATCATCATCATCGGCATCATCATCATCAGCATCCGCATCCTCATCCTCGTCCTGCTGACCATCATCATCATAATCCTCATTATACTCATCGTCCTCCCCATCCTCATCCTCGTCATTATCCTCATCATCCGCATCCTCGTCCTGACTATCATCATCATCATCATTCTCATCCTCATCTCTTCCTGGTCATCCTCCTCCTCATCATCGTCCTCATCCTCCTCATCGTCGTCATCCTTCTCTTTCTCAGCCTCATCCTGATCCTCCTCCTCATCATCATCACCATCGCTATCCTCATCATGATCAGCCTCCTCATCCTGATCCGCATCCTCATCAGCATCATCATCTTCGCCCTCATCCTCAACATTATCATCAACATCATCATTATGTTCGTCATCGTCCTCATCATCTTCATCCGCATTCTCATCCTCATCATCAGCATTATCCCCATCATCATCATCAGCATCATCATCATCGGTATCCTCATCACCATCATCAGCAGTTGCATCATCATCATCACCAGCATCATCATCGTTTTAATCCTCACCCTCATCATCATCCGCAGCATCGTCGTCGTCATCATCAGCAGCATCATCAGTATCAGCAGCAGCATCAGCATCAACATCAACATCATCATCGTCATCATCCTCATCATCAGCATCATCAGCCGCATCCTCATCCTCATCATCATCCTCCTCATCCTCATCTTCAGCCTCATCCGTATCATCCTTAGCGTCGTCCTCATCCTCATCCTCATCCGCGTCCTGATCCTCATACTCATCCTCCTCAGCATCAGCAGCATCATCATCGACAGCATCCTCATCCTCATCCTCATCCTAATCATCATCATCATCCTCATCGTCATCCTCATCCTCATCCTGATGATGATCATCATCATCAGCATCATCGTCCTCATCCGCATCCCCACCCTCATCATCATACTCAGCATCACAATCACCATTAGCATACTAATAACAAGCCTCATCATCATCATCACCACCACCATCATCATCAGCATCAGCTTCATCGTGACCCTTATCAGCATCATCATCAGAAGTATCATCATCATCATCATCAGCATCATCAGCATACGCATCATCATTATCAGCAACATCATTTTATTCGCCATCGTCCTCATCATCCTCGTCCTCATCCTCATCCCCATCCTCATTCCCATCAACAGCATCATCACCATCATCAGCATCATCAGCATCACCATCATCATCATAATCATCGCTATCCTCATTATCATCATCATCAACCTCAGCATCATCATCTACCCCATCCTCATCCTCATGATCATCCGCAGCAACGTCATCATCATCATCATCATCATCAGCATCATCATCATCATCATCATCATCATCATCATCATCATCATCATCATCATCATCATCATCATCATCATCGTTATCCTCATCATCATCGTCGTTATCATCATCATCACATCATCATCATTATCATCACCACAATGATGATCATCATCGTCATCATCATCATCGTCGTCATCCTCATCCTCATCATGATCATACTCATCGTCGCGCTCATCCTCATCGTCACCACCATCAACATCATTATCATCCTCATAATCCTCATCATCGTCGTCATCAGCATCGTTTTTCTTCATCCTTAGCATCGTCACCATCCTCATCGTCATCGTCATCATAATCATCACTATCATCATCACCATCATCATCATCCTCATCATCATGATCATCATCTTCATCCTAATCCGCATCCTGTTCCTCATCGCCCTCATTATCTGCCATATCAGCATCGTCATCATCATCATCATCCTCATCATCATCCCCATCCTCATCCTCGTCATCGTCATCATCATCATCATCCTCATCATCCTCATCTCCATCCTCATCCTCCTCCTCATCAGCATCAAAACCTCACCATCATCATCAGCATCATCTCATCCTCATCCTCATCCTCACCCTCATCCGCACCCTCATCCACATTCTCGTCCTCCTCGTCCTCCTCCTCATCATCCTCCTCGTCATCGTCATCGTCATCGTCGTCCTCATCCTCTCCTCATGCTCCTCCCCATCTCATCATCGTCGTCACCGTCATCTCATCATCATCGCGTCATCGTCATCGTCATCCTCCTCATCCTAATCCTCATCCTCATCATCGTCATCGTCATGAGGGCATCCTGGATGGCGGCTCCTGGCATCAGCCAGGCTTCCACGGCCCCAGGCCCGAGGGCGGGACAGGCGGCAACGGAGGCGGGGGCGGAGGAGACGGTGGGTGAGGGCGTGAGGTGGGCGAGGGAGAGGAGAAGGAGGGAGAGGAGGAGAGGAGGGAGAGGAAGAGGAGGAGGAGGAGGGAGGAGGAGGAGGAGGAGAGGAGGAGGAGGAGGAGGAGGAGGAGGAGGAGGAGGAGGAGGAGGAGGGAGGGAGAGAGGGTGAGGCGAGGGAGAGGGGGGGGAGGAAGAGGAGGAGGAGGAGGAGGAGGAGGAGAAGGGTCGAGAGGTGGGAGAAAGAGAGAGGGAGAAGGGGGGGGTGAGGAAAAGGAGGAGGAGGAGGAGGAGGAGGAGGAGGAGGAGCAGAAGGGGCGAGAGGAGGGAGAGAGCGTGAGCGTGAGGGAGGGAGGGGGGGGGGGGGCGAGGGTGAGGGCCAGAGATCGGCGGCGAGCGAGGGGGGGGGAGGGGCGAGGGGGCCCTCTCAGAAGGCGGCGGGGCTTCTCGGAAGCACTCGCGCCTTCTGAGAGGTGTTCTGTGTTTTCGGGGAAGGCTCCGGAAACTTCCCAGAAGGCCAGAGAACTTACGAGCCTTCTGAGAAGGCCCGCCCCTTTTCACTTCCCCCCCGGGCTCGCCGCCGAGGAAAACTACAACGAACCTCGAAATCGGCTGGCACTATTTCTGACGCTGCATATACCGTTTAACCTGGAACGATCTTCGCCTTGGGGCTCCCCACAATCGCTCGACACCACCTTTCAATAGACTTTGTGCCGTGGGTAGTCACTTGTGTGTCGTCGGGGGCCGAAGAGATACACCTTCGCGAATTCACTTTTAATCGCCCGCGCCGAGCGTCGCCAACGCATCGAGGCGGGAAGAGTCTGATGTAGGACGGAGATTCAGTCGAAAGAGGAGGCGGTCCGAGATGAGGGTGCCGTCCACCTCGACAAACTGATCCTCGTCCAAGGGCCCGACCCTGTCCTTGCTGGCGGC